GGTGCTGTTGGGAGTGTGACCTGGTGGTGGAAGGGCGAGTAAGTTGTTGTTGCTGGCTTCTTCCAGGATGTGGACTCTGGGTGCGTTCAGGGGAGTGTAGAAGTCGTATCTCCCCCCTCTGTTTGCCCTAGTCGACCTCTTGAACTGGCTGTCATTGTTGACTTTGACCTTGTCGTTGTGCCCCTGCTCTGGCTTTGCTAGTCCTTTTCCGCGAACCTGGTCACGGAAGGCAGAGTGTTCCTCCATCTGGATGTAACCTACAGCGCGGGCGCGGAGCTCGTTCATGTCGCGGGGGGACTCACGACACAGGCTGTCGACAAATGGCCCGGGTTTGAGTGCCATGAGCATGGCATGTAGGGCGACCTCGGGATTCAGGTTTCTGATCTTGATCGAGGTGGCAATGAACCGTTCCATGAATGCCCGGAGTGGTTCGTCGTCATTTTGCCTGAGACTGGCCAAGGCAGCTGAAGTGACATGATGAGGTCGGCTCGTCGCATATTGCGCGGTGAACTTCCTAACTAGGGTGCCGAAGCTGTCGATGGACTCGGGAGGCAGTTGAGTGTACCAGTTGAGTGCGGCCCCTTGAGAGAGGACGGAAACACCCTACACAAAATAACATCATTGTTGGTGTAGAGATTTACTTGTGTTGTGTACAGGTCGATGTGCTCATCCGGGTCCGTCATGCCATCGTAGCGGTCGAGGTGGAGAGGCTTCCACCCGTGAGGGAGTGGTGTCTCCATAATGCCATCCACAAAAGGGTGGCGGCGGAAGGTTGGCTGATCCCCCGTGGCATGAGTAGGGGCCTTGCTGATTTCATGGGCTGACTTGTACGTCGATGCATGAGACCGATGCGTTGTAGGTCGTTGAGTTGGTGCCTTGGTTGCCGTCTGAGGTTGAGAGACTGAGTGCTCCTCTTCCTCATTGTGGTTACCCGTATGAGGAGGATGATCGGAGTGGTGTCGAGGGAGTTGAGCGCGGATTCGCTCGTTCGGCTTCGTTAGTGGCACGCATTGCCGCTAGGTCAGTGTCGTGCTTGGCACGCATGTTTTGTAGGTCGGCGGCGTTCCAACTTGTTGATTTCCCCGCTAAATAATGCACTAAACCCACAAGAAAACATAATCAATTAATTGTCTAGGATAAAACAAAAACATACACACAGCATTAATCTGTGTATGTCATTCTTCTTTACCCAAAATTCAATTGTCATGTAAAACACCAAAGACGAGAAACATGAACTAAAAAAAAATTGAAACCAAAACTTGAAAATAAACAGAAATTTTCAAATTTCAGTGACATGCAAAAATAAACAAATAAATAAAAAGAAAGCTTGGACAAAGAAGAAGTGTATGAACAGGCACACTTACAACAGGAATAAGAATGAAAGAGTAGGAGGATGAAGAAAGACCTTGTAAGAGAGAACCCCAATCAACCGAGTCAAACAACTCTCTAGAATCCTTGTTTTTCCAAGAACAAGATTCAGATTTTATCCCAGAACTGAATCGTGTGTTAGCATATTTTAAACTTTGGCCGAGTTTGATTCCTAGAAAGAGAAAATACTTCAAAAAGAAGGGTTTGACGTGGC